AATGTCCTTTGAACCAATATCTACAGGAACACTTTGAAAAAGATTATTTATTATTATTACTAACTAATCGCAATMGATCATGTCTCCTACCTGCATATTTAATAATAATACGCATAGCATTCAATAAGCAATTCGTATGTGGTTGTTTATCTAAATAAAACTAAATTCATTGTAAAATAGACCATTATGAACTAAATCGACGTGTTTTCAACAAGTATTTTTTGTTGGGMAACGCCTTATACATGTTAAGGCGTCACGGCAATGAGTTATGATTACTCCTACGTGTTTAATATATAATATACATAATACATGTTATTAAGTTCACGGTAAATGTGTGGGGAAGATCTAGGAAGTCTATCTAGAAAGAAATATCATCATTTTCGTGGTATGTGTGCAATTTTAAAATTTCTAAACAAAAAAATAATAATGATATATGAAAATAGTAGGTAATATTATGTGGGTATAACCAATTATTTTGAAAAAAAAAWTTTTAAATAATTTTTGAAATTAATAATTTCTAGCAGATATTTAGTATACCAACTTAAAAAAAAATATAGTCAACAAGTTATTTATTACATATATTTATGTATTTGTATATAATATGTAATATGTATATCATAAAGAGGCCACAGACAGAACAGTAAATTTAGCGGTCTTTTGTAGAAATAGTATACTTGTATAATAAATTATGCCTTATTCAAATACTATATCGATTTAAAAATCCATTCTTATAGTATTTTCAAATGTGTATAAATACAATCAATAATATGAAACTAAGTGAAAGAAGCTATGTAAGGCGTCATAACTTAATGTATTTAATGACCAATATAATGGTATCAATATTGTTTATTATAATGAAAACRCTTCAATCATAATACAAACCATAATATTAATCTAATAATATAGGTAATTTACTATATTGGTAAAAATCAAAAAATTGTTATACTATGATTATTGAATCATAATTTATTAGTAATTAAAAAATAATATTATTGTAATTATAATTATTCAATTACCAATGGTAATATTACTCATTAGGTAAGTGAGTTACCTAAATTTAATTAAAATATGGAATAGATATTTACATA